TTTTTGGTTTAGGTTGACAGCTCATATGTTTGGTTTTGAGACTAGAAGTAGACGTAGGAGAACTATACGTTTGTGATATCCAAGACCGGATTTGAAGGTTACAGCTATTGTAATAAACATAATTTAAAGATATATTTTATATTTTACATTGTCTAGTATACATGTAGAATATTGAATTATCTTATCCTCATATTTCAAAGTTCAGCCCCTTTAAAACTCGCCGTAGACTTACAAGGGCAGTCAGTTGTACATGACTCACTCAAAGCATATCTGTCAGTTGGTCATTTCCTAAATATGGAGAAAAAAAGTGACCCATGAATTTTAGGCTACTAGATTATTGTGGGGTAAAGAGTAGACAAGATCTGAAAATGGTTGACTGAGATGGACTACACAGATTCCATTTTGACTTTACAGCAACGGTGAAGTCTGTTTGGATATGAACTGAATTGATTGTGGCAACTCACATGTTTGTGGTAAAATCTAAAGGATATTGTACAGTCAGACTGTAATGTGTGTCCATCTGTAAATATTAGACAATGGCTATAGCACAGCTGTCATGTCTGAAGCCAGTTCTGCTGTTTCCCTCTGCAATTTTCATGGTAAAGTAAACTCCTGATCTGTTGGGGAATAAAAAAAAAAATTTTTTTTATTTAGAAGCGAAAGTGGAGCAAACAACGTTGTTGATATGTAATTGTATTGCCGTTTCATCGTGTTCGTAAATAATAGTTTGCGTTAACTTTCCCTTTGAACTGCGAGTGATCTCTATGCTATTTCCTGAATACCTGCGTTGTGCATCAGCTCCCTGTGATAGCAAATTCTGCATGTGCTGACCGTTTGACACCAGTGCACTGTAAATACTAGTGAGCTTTTATGTGGCAGCTTTATAACCCTCAAATTTAAGGCAATAAAAGTGAATATGACCTGAACTGTGTATGGTGTTTGTAGCACAGCCTGTTTTGTACTGCCTAAACAAGCTGTATTTCTTACTGCAGCTCAGCCCTTGGTCCTATCTACATGTTCTCTGTAGGATGGAGTTTTCCATATTTGTTTACTTTGATACTATTTGCTCCATATTCTATGTGGGCGGTAACCGCTACAGTGCAGAATGTTCTACAGACCATCACATTGTTTCATCTCAAACAGCACTCTGTATTTTTTCTGTAACAATCAGTATACAGAACCCCCAGTGTGAGCTGTAATGGAGGTCACACTTGCAGTAACAAGAGCGGTCAGAACTACAGGGGTTGGCTGACCAATTATCAGATAGTCTTTCTGTGGGTACATTCGTTATTATGGTATATTAACAAGACCAACCATAAGCTCATCCGGATATTAGAAAAGCAATAAAAGATTGGCTGGTGAGGCGGCATGTGCACAGTGCTGGCAGCAAATGAAGGCTGCAGATTACTAATTCAGTGCTGCTGAGCAGTTCTACATATTGTGATACAGCATCTGTGACCATACGTGCGTGTTCATTTATGTGGAACAATGCTTAGAGAAACAAGACAAAGCTGGAAGCATCTGTATGAATGTTGGTTACTCAAGTCAGACAAAACCATTTTCCATTTAAACTTGCTCAGGGACACGCCATGTGGTTTTAATTTTGTTTCTGATATTGTCTAACTATGACTACCCTGCTAGCTAGACCCTTGATGTGGCCATAATCCTCATCTTCTGATGGCCCTGGATTTGAGCCTTCATAGATGCAGGCCATCTTGTACTTAGTGGGCTGTATTGGCTCCTGTTAGTACCTCTCCATTGTTTCCTCAGTTGAAAAGCGAGCACAGTAAATATTCTATCTGCTATTGCTAAATTGAACTCTTGGATGGGAGTTTCCATAACAAGATCTTTACTCTTATACTAATGTGGGATCTATGGAAACACATTCAGATGGACTTGGTTCTTATATTGATGCAGGCCAGCATGTTCTCGAGCTCCAATAACACATCTCTCTGAGCCCACAGTCTCAGCATCACCAGCTGTAGCATTGGAGGGAATTTGCTCTGCACAAATTCATGTCACAAGAGGCTATATTTCTGCTCCGAAATGGTGGAAGACATTTCCTGATTTTGGTTGCAGTGGATTATGGAAAATATACATTGGAAACCTATGGATTGGCCTCTAATGCATAGCGAAGTTTTGCCTTGACTTTCTCTTGTAGGAGCATACGCAGCAGTTTTCTGGCAGTTTCAGCCAGCTTTCAATCTCATATTCAACTTGGTGAATCAAGGGAATCTGCCACCAACACTTTAGGTCATTCAGAGTTTATTAGATCCTCTGGTGGCAGTAGGTTGTCTTCGTATATTAAGCCATTTTTGTAATGGAAAGCTGGTTGTTATTGTCTGTCTGAAAATTGCCATTTTGTAGCACTTTTTCATTATTAATTTTAAAAAAATCTTAATAGATTAAGAATTAGATTTATTAAATTGATTATTCAGAGCAGTGTTCACGTGCATTTGCTATTGCTCCCTTATTGCATTTGAACATTAAAGGCAGCATGTCCTATTCCAATGAACTTCATTTGCTTTTCATTCCTCTGTACAAATGAAGGGAAAGTTAGTGCATCTCAAAGGGAAGCCATTTTTCCCTGAAAGTATACAAGATGTAATTTTTTTCTGAATCTGTCACCTCTGTACATTAGCTCTAGGGTGGTGGGACTTACATGATAGTGCATATAACTCAAGAATAGTGTTCTAAAATAAATTTAAATTTTCAAAATTGTGAATTATTACCAGACTTTCGTACATGCCTTCTCGCCACCAAATGTATGTTCTGTGCCCTTAAAGCTTCTTCATACACACTCCTTTTCATTTTACACATTAGCAGGAATAGAAACCTTAAATATATGTATAATGCAGTTTCCTGCAAAGTGCATCTTCCCTTAGAATTACTTTAAATTCTCTTTTTATTATCAGCAGTTTTCAGACTGATTGGTAAATACTGTATGTATGTACTTGTACATTATGCATTTAGTGAATAGCTTCTGTTTCTATGTGAACAAGTTGTATCCGTCTCCTTCAAAACATAATTTCTGTAGGTACCCTTGTCTACATGCTGTTGTCATGGTATGTGTAGATCCAAGGCCACCCATGTTCTCTGCCCCCATTATGTCTGAAAATGTTTGGCCTTGGGATGTTTGTGGTATGAATCAATGTCTTCTACTTGAGGGTAGTCCTTTTTTTTTTTTTTAAATTACAGCAGATGATAGGAAACAATCAGATATGTAGTAGTTTAAAGATTTAGATATTTAATGGTTGCTTATAAATGGCGAACCCTTTCTCTGAGATTGAAATATATACATGCTTTATTAGCTGGAGGGCAAGAGAGGGATGGGAGGTAGTTGTGAAATTGTCCCTAACTGATGGGGAAATTATTTCCTTTGGCAAAGCCCACAGACCTGGATAGTTGAAGTCATAGTCACATTAAGCAAGTGAGACTCTCACATGCAATGTGCAAGACGATGTCTGTGAATGTGGAGCTGTTTTCTGAGCGCAGGATTAACGCCTTACATTTCTGCACTTATGCTGTGATTTATTTACTTTCAGACTAGAAATTTAAAGCGTCTGGTAAGAATAACTTATATGTGACCCCCGGAATGTACATTCATGGTACCGGGGTACCTTTCTCTTGGGTTTTTGGAACAATGGTCGATTCAGTCCCATCACAATTGCGCACTGGCACAAAGAACAAAATATCCGGTTATCCTCAGACTATATGGTGTAACGCGGGTACCACTGCGGTGGCAACATCTGCATTCTTAACTTTTTCCCCATGGGTAAAGGAAGCATTGTCACCAGTTAGGCAGTGTGTCTATTTGATGGTTAAAGGGTTTATTTATCATTGTCCGTGACCGTAGTGTTGCACAGTTATGCTAGGTTCACACCTAGGCGACTCCGGGCCGCGCGGCAATCCACGCAGTTTTGTGCACGATTGCCGCACGGTCGGGAGTCGCCAAGGTGTGAACTGATCGCGCTGTGGGAGCCATTATTTTCTACGCTCATTGTTCTGGCGTGTTCTGCTGTTCACCATCAGGGAGTACAGCCTGAGCAATGACATGCAGCCACTTCTTGAACAATGCTGGTTTCATACAGTGCTTTAGCTAGCTAAATGCTACTTTAATGCTTGCTTTCCAATAGTTCGAGGTAAAATGGGACTCCCTTGAGACAGCGCTAAGTTGCAGAAAAACTGGGTTTGTTCAAATTTATTGGCAGTTACTTTTTTTATGTAGGATGTGGCAAGGAATTGTTCGAATCTTTGATGGGTTTCTGTTGCCACTGTCAACAGTATAAGAAATGAAGGAAATGTTTCTTTCCTATCTATTTATTGCATAAGTTATCTTTCACTACCCATAAACATGTACAATTTATTGGCTATGGAGGATTGTATTGTGGTAGTAAACCAAATAAGACAGTGATGGCTTGGGACGTAATGCATCATGTTGGAAAAAGCAGAAAGATCAATAAACGGATTCTTGCCCTTGCAGGACAGGGATGAAATGGAGTTCTTCTTTAATACATGAACTTTGATGCCTTATAAAGGGACATGCTTTCTTACAGTCTTGGTCTTTCCCTTTTTTATCTTGCAGTTACTGATGAAGACACTGTAAAACGATATTATGCCAAGTTTGAAGAAAAATTCTTCCAGACGTGTGAGAAAGAGCTTGCCAAAATTAACACATTTTATTCAGGTAATTGAACGGTGAATACCAAGAGATCTTGATCAAGTAGTGACAACTTGTGGTTCTCCAGCTGTTTTGAAACTCTTGTTCCAGCCCCTTTGGCTTTGGTGCCTTCACAGCTGCTGGAAGTAACCACTGTCGCTGTCTGATCTGTGCAACAGAACAATACAGTATTTGCCCACATTGTATCTCTCAATTACTGACTGTCCTGTCTTTCATTGCAGAAAAGTTAGCAGAAGCTCAGCGACGTTCTGCCACGCTACAAAATGAGTTGCAATCCTCACTGGATGCACAAAAGGAAAGCAGCCGGTTGCCAACCCTCAGGCATCGTAGAAAAGCTGTATTCACACTTTCGCATGAGGAGCGGGTCCAGCACAGAAACATCAGGGACCTAAAACTGGCATTTAGCGAGTTCTATCTCAGCCTAATTCTGCTGCAGAACTATCAGGTACAACATGTCTGCCGTCCTGCCAAGGCCAGACTTTTATGTGGAAAATGTGGTAGACATATATTTTGTCTTGTTTCTTTTCATCAAGAGATTCCCCTAAAAACTAAAGTTGTTAGTTTATGGAAAAGTGGAATTGGTAAAGTGTGTGTGTGTGTGTGTGTGTCCATCAGGTTCAATGTACGTACGTGTGCGTGGTCTAGTTTTTAAGGGTTGTTATGGTCTCTGAGGAAGGCATCTAAATGATTTTTGAATGATTCAATACTCTTTGCTGATACCACTGCCTGTGGAAAATTTAACTGCTCTAACTGAAAAGAAGCTCCAGTCCCTGAGGTAGCCATTACACTCTGCCTGTAAGGTAAATGCCCCAGTGCTCATCCACAACAATATTCATATAAATCCAAAGAAGATATAGAGGCACTCACGGGTCTTGCAGCGTCAAAGCATCAACATTTTATTCTCAATGTTTCCTTGGAGCTCAGTCCATCTTTCTCAAGACAGTGGGGTTGATTTACTAAAGGCAAATAAATTCTTCACTTTGCAAGGGAATTTGCACTTTGAAGGTGATGTTTCCATTAGCTTAGTGAGTATATCTACTTTAAATTTATATGTATTTATAATTTCACATAACCTTAAGGCAGAGTATTGAATCATTCAAAAATCATTTAGTTAACTTCCTCAGAGACCATAACATACAGAGGTACAGGTACTCTTAAAAACTAGACCACACACACACGCACACGCACGTTGAACCTGATGGACACACACGCACGTTGAACCTGATGGACACACACGCACGTTGAACCTGATGGATCTGTGTCTTCAACCTCAAATACTATGTAAATGTGTGTGTGTGTATGTATGTTTCTGTAGCCTGTAAGGTAACCTTTAAATTCAGTATCTGAGTGGAAGAATTTCCAGTCACACAGTTCTGTTAGTGATTCCATTGAGTGTTCTGCAAACAAATGCAATATAGCTGACCACAGAAGGGTCACTTTTGTAATAATTGTGCCAGTATTTGCTTAGTAATCAAAGAAAAAAACATGACCGTTGCCCTAATAGTCTAAAAATGATCCCTACCAACAGATACACTTGGAGATATTAGTGAATTGATGGAAACATTTTTCTCTTCAGATGACACTTGTGAGAAATGTACAGTAGACACCATTGTTTAGCTCACTGGACCGGCATAGCTTAAAGATTGATCAAGAGCCATTTGAAATGTTCTCCGTACATGGCCAGTTTTAGGCTGAGGGACTAAACTGTATTAAAACATTATGATCAGGTCTGATGAGCTTTCTGAAACAAACATATCTGTACATACTATTTTTGTGATGCTTTTTAATGTCTTCTAATTTTGGGGTTTTGTTTTGGGTGGGTAAGAAGTAAAAACATAAGCCCCTCTTTCAAAACTCCCACTATGCCTTTGTGAAGGCAGAGAACCTAGTTGGATCCTGAAGAGTGATGGAATGTTATTTTTGAGCTGTAAAACGCATCATTTTCTTAATCTTGCGTTACTGTATTTTATAGCCATTTTATACTGCTTCTGCAACCTGCTGTGCCTTTTTCATTTTTTTTTATATATAATACAGTGTGGGCAGGTTGCCATGTAGAATAGCTTTCTAGGAAGTCAGTGGGAGGGAACTGATGATTTCTCAAGGTAGAATTTTGCAAAGCTTCCCTTTAGCTGTCAGAGATTTGAGCCACAGCTTTGTCCTGCCTACCTATTTATATTGACACAGATTGGGGTTAGGCTGCTTTCAATTGTCCTTTCAGCACGTTCATGTTTATCATTTACAGATTTTTTCTTTTCGGCACACAAAGATGTTTAACATGGCAAAAAGTAATATACCAGCAACAGGTACCTGTCATTCTAGGTGTGAGATATTAGATTATTTTTGGTTTTATTCTTAATTGCCAAAAACGTTTGTATTTATTTGCCAAAAAATATCAATTTCGGAGCCATTTTGCAAGCGGTTGGCCTGATTTTTGCTGAGTGTGGTTTATGGTCTCCTTTTAGGATCTCCCTCCCAAAATGAAGCTTTTTTTCCTTCCACTAATTCAGTGAATAAAATAACGGGTGTCATACAAGGGAGCAAAGCTGAAGCTGTGCAGTTTTGTTTTTTTTGTTTTATTTATAGCAAACCTTGTATAGGGTTACAAGATTACTCAACAGAGAAGTATGATCATAAGGAATGTGCACGTGGTTACATGACAAGTAAAGAGACATCAATTGTCAGAGATTGATGTATTAAAATATTTTTTTTTTTTAAAGTATGCAATGTACATTTTATCTATCATAATTTTATCTGTGTTCCTTGTCTGCTAGAATTGTCATTGGTATTATAAGGTGTTAGAAAGTAGAAAGAGATCACCAGGGTTTTTATGTTATGGGACTAATGTGGTTATACAGATTTCTCTCAGCGTTCATTGAAGAACACAGTTGACTGTATACCCTGCCACTAGGAGGTTGGAAACGTGAATTCAAAAGGTTTGGGTCCATTCTACAGGACATATCATCTGCACAAGTAGTCAGACCCAGTTTAGCGTATAGTCTTAAAGTAAGAGCATCACCCCCAGTTCTGTTCTGTACAGTTAATACTAGGGATGGACTGATGCCGGTATTTCGGTATCGAGTACAGATATATTTTTTTCGGTACTCGCCGAAACCGAGTACCTGAACTCCCATTCAGGAAGCCAGGCGGTGTGTAATGACTCACTACCTGGCTTCCTGATTAGCCAGGCATCGTGTAAAGACTCGCCACCCGGCTTTCCGATTAGCAGGGAAGCCATCCCCATGCTTTTCGTCACTAGGTGCCTGGCTTCCTGATTGACCAGCTTCCAACCAATCAGGAAGCCGGGCAGCCTGTCATTACACGCTGCCCGGCTTCCTGATACCGGAAGTATCGGGCTAGGCATCGGAGCATTTGTACGAGTTTTTGCCTAAATACTCGGCATTGGCACCGATACTAGTATCGGTGCATCCCTAGTTAATACTGCTGGCAGTGCCGCACCAAACTCTGCATCCTTGGAGAGTCACTGCCTCAGTCAACATCTGGGTCCCCACACTTTTTAAGCTGACCAGTAATTTCTAGACGATAGCAAGAGACCAGATTAGGAAGAATGAGAGAGTTTAGCGTAATAGAGATCATAGGGTAACATTTGTAAAAGGCATAATGCAAGAAAATGCCACACTATGCGTATGGAAGCATAAGTAACTTTCAGAAACTTGTTGTATACATATAGTGCCCCTTGCTTTCCATGTGCAAATGCCAAGGCTTGGCAATACAAAGGAACCAGGCCCTTGTATCTTTACATTTTGAGATACAGGGTTTCTGTGTTTACAGTACCAGGAAATGAGACTTTGCATATGCAATGTCAGGGGTGCCCAGACTACCCATATTGAGAAGCCTGGCATGTGATGCTATCTGATATCTTGCACTGAAGTTATTTCACCAGATCTCAACCTGTTACATGTTTACTTTCAAGTATGTTTGTTTGAAAATGTAAATAAACTGATGAAGACGATCTCTAAAATAATAGGTATCCTTTAGCAGTAAATTAAAGTGAATTTGTCGCATCATAATAATTTTTAGTAAATCTGTCGCAAAACTGGTGGAATCAAAAGGAGCACATAATCAAGAACCGAGCATGTGTGTTGGCTTCCTTTAGTGGAGACCACATGTCAAAACAATCATTTGGTGGCAGTTAATGTTAAAAGCAAATCCCAACTATGCCTGAAAAATGTGTCTAGACTCTGCCTGTCTCCTGAACATTTCTATTGGGCCATGAGAAGTCCCATCATAATATAGGCAGTTGTGACGGAAGGGTATCAAGATCTAAGCGCCCTATGTCTCTGGGTCTGCTAGTTGTTTGCACATTTTGTGGTTTGATGCAGTCTGAATGTGCCATGTTTGTTGTATTTTTAGTAGTAGAATTTTACGTGTCATAAACGTATTCTTTTTATGTGCCTAGAATCTGAACTTCACAGGGTTCCGCAAGATCCTAAAGAAACATGACAAGATCCTGGAGACGAGCCGTGGTGCAGACTGGAGGGTGGCTCATGTGGAGGTGGCACCATTTTATACCTGCAAGAAAATTAATCAGCTGATATCCGAGACTGAGGTAATTCTAATTACACCGAGCAGGTAGAAAAAAAAAGAGCAGCAGATAAAAAGCCATTTAGTCTACCCTAGGGGACAATAATGACAAAGTCACCTGTTGAAAGCACTTGTTGCGCACTGAGAGCTCGTTTCCCTGATCTATAGAAGGAAGCAGGTACTGCACCACACAGGAGCCAATGACTAGGACACAAGGTGGTATGTTATGAGGAAGGGAATCTGCCTCTATGGCCACCCAAACTCTTTATGGGAAAATAAATTGCAACATATGGCGAAGTCACTTATTTTTTATTGTTTAAGGTGTTTAGAACTGTGTGGCCTCAAAGATCTGTGGTCAGGGTCCGTAAGGCTGGATGGTGTATTTTAACCTCAATATATAAGTATATTCGAAGTGAAGATATTAGAATGAGGTTTAACAAAAATGGGGAAAAGCAAGAGATTGGTGAAAAAAAAAAAATAGCGGGGTGCTCTGATACACACATTAGTAGCTGGGAGAAAAGCTTTAAGCTGGGAATACACAGTTAGAATTTTGTTTGTTTTCAGAATGTTTGTTCGATTTTCTAATAGTTAATGGGGTAAAAAAAAAAAAAAATTCTCGAAACGAAATTCTAACAGTGAATGTGGTTTTCATTACAGAAACTCCATTTATTCCAAAATCGAATATTAAAATCAAATGACATTTTGAAAGACAGTGATCAAGACTAATGGAATTATCAAATGTTCTGACAAAATTTTTGGTAGGAACGTTTGTAAGAAATTCTAACTGCGGTGAGAACTGCCTTTAAATGGTAAAGCATTAAAGGAGAACTATGAGGTGAGTGCTTTTCACTCACCTCATAGTTCTAGCCGACCTGTGACAATGAGACTGTCACAGGTCGGCTCAGTAGATCGGGAGGTGAGCGAACATATACCGACGTTCGCTCACCTCACGATCCTGTCACGGCTCTCTGCCGTGACAGGGGAGGGGCTGGATTCCCCCCTCCCCGCTCCGATCTGCCAGCGCTACACCTGAAAGGCAGTTTTTCAGGCGGACTCAATCGGATGCCCAATGCAAGGCTATGGGTGTCCGTTTACACTTGGTTATCCCCTGCCTGTGGCCAGGTGCGCAAAAATAGATGGAACAGTGTTCCGTTTCAACAGACCGGATTGTGTTGGATCGGGGGTAATCTTATGTAAATAGATACATGTCCGTTTACATCAGATTCCCCACAGACCAACATGAGGTCCGGTAAATGCAGTTTTTTTTTTTATGCGATGGATGAAAAAATAACTGTATGGACACTGAAGTCAGCGGTGTGATCCGCTCTGTACTGTACTATTGATCCTCTCCTGATCAGCCCTTGTGAACAGGGCCTCAGAATTTGTGCTTCAATAGTCCCCAGCGGAAGACATCTGCTGAACCGGTGACCCAAAAACAAGGTAGCGTCTGTGACTCTGGTGTCATTGCTTATCGTCCTCAGCACTGCCAAAGTCCTTCCAGTATCATCAACACTGTTTAGTGGCTCTGGCTTTCTAGTCTACAGCTTGGAATGCTGGAAGATCCAATTCTGGCACCTATTTACATGCCTCACGCCTCCACCCATCTGGTGTCATTTAAAATTCAATTGCAAGGAAAACATGACAGTAGCCAAATTTCAGAGCAGAATTTGACATTATTTTTTTAATCTTATACATTTATCTAATTTTCATGATCAGCGTTACACTTCTCATATGTATACAATTGATCTTGCACTTCCATTTTAATGGACATTATGGTGTAGCTATTTGGTAGTTTGCTCTCCCATTCATCTCTCTTGGCTAGATCCATGCCTGCAATACAGCGGAGACCAATGCGAGGGTGCAAATGTTGCATGGCAGAGGCCTGGACAGCGGAAAGCTAGTTATTGCTGCAGTAAAGGTCTTTGGTAGCAGTTGAACACTTGAATTTGAAAGGTACATTTACACCTTCTGTGCGATTTCAGCCTCTCACTGTCCATCACCATGTTAAAGGCACACCCATGGATTCTTCTGAAAGTTATTGGCTAATTGAAAGCTTATTTCTATTAGTGGTAGTGACATTGCGTAACCCTGGAATGTAGCTTAAAGGGAGGGTCCAAGTCTGCAGATAAACAATATCTGCCATGTTGAGAGGAAGGGGCTGTTAGTACCTTCCAAGGTTCCCTTGGTCACTGGGATGCAGAGAACCAATATCCCTGGCTACGCAAGAGTACACTAGGGTTTAAAAGTAACCAGCAGCAAGCAGGTTGCTCATGTATGATCTGTGGAAGTGAAATGAAGGAATTGTGCCCTTAGCTTATATCTTACCTAATGCTGCATCTAGCCATTCCACTTTCACAGCCTGTACAATGCACCCCAGTCAACAAAGACCACTGTTATTTCTACACATCACTTTCTAGCTTTCCACTTGTGAAGACTGTGCAGCATGATTGGGAAAACCCCATGATTTTATTACACTGGGAGATCAGAGGCACCACTTCTTGTTAATGAGTTCTCATTTAATACAGGTTTTTAAAAGCACATTCACTTAGTAGGACAGGAGGTTTCAGGATTGTAAGCTTCCATGGTAGGCTTGGACAAAACACATCTTCCCTAAACGCCACCAGAAACAATGTGACATTGAACAGACATATTAGTAATAACCTTCCTCCACACCATATATAAACTCATAGTTTGTATATGGTGAAGGGGGGGAGGTGATGAGATTTTGTTCATACAATGTATGCAGTTCTGCATCTTTACCATTGAGCTCTACGAAGACAGCTTAATCAGTCAGTGTATTTGATATAATCAAACCATCTAAAATGCTATGGCTGCGTCCTGCTTTATTATTGTTTAAAATAATTCCTGCCTATTCACTCATTGCTGCAGGATGACTCATCTGAGGTTTGCTTTGCTGTCATAAGGAAGGGCAGCTACTGATCACTTCTCATTAATTCTGCATACACGTCACCAGGATACCTGGCATCATTATGTGATTAAGACCTGTTTGAAAACCTCTTACACTTTCTTCTTTTATTAGGGTATAGTGACGAATGAATTGGAAGATGGGGACAGACAGAAAGCCATGAAGCGCCTTCGTGTGCCACCCCTCGGAGCTGCACAGGTGAAACATTTGGGCTAGAAAATGAACCACAAGGGTTTCTACAGTTTTTTGTTCCCTGTTCCTGGCTGCCCTAAAATAACCCCGTAGCTCTTTGTTTGGGCCAGCTGCTGAAGTCTATAGTGATCGTTCACCCTGACAATGCATTTCAATTTGCAACAGAATGAAGCTGATGAGAGATGTTCAGTTTATTTTTTTACATGATACTTGCCATCCATATGATAACTCACATTCTTCTCCATTTTATATCCATTAAAAGATCATTGTACAATAGCTGGCAGTCATAGTGACGCAAGCTTTCTTGTCAATATTAAGAACAAATCCTTATCCTTTTGTCTTTATGGAACTTTATGGCCAGTTCACACCATATCCAGTGCGTTCCGACATGTTTAGTGGCCAGAACACACTGGATCGCATAATTAAATCCTCCCGTGTTCTGGGGCGTGGTGGTGCCATGCATGTCAATGGCACCGCAGCCACGCCTCGCACCCGCAGTGCAATCGCCCACACCAGAAAGCGAGGTACAGCAATGTCCGGTGTGGTGCGATCGCCAAAAATAGTGCATGCTGCTCCCTTTTTGTTCTGAAAATACAAGTTTCTAGGCTGTCACACTGCAACTGTTGCTTCAGTTTTATAATTCTTTGTACAAAAGAAAAATACAGGCAAAAATGTAATGGACCGTGTAATGAGGGGGAACACTTGTGTTGCATCGCTGGATGAGGTGCACTAGTAGGTAAACTCCACAGTGTGCAGGTATTATTGGTAGAGTTCCAATTTTACCCTCTCAACAGCCATATTCCAAGTGGCTAGAAATATTGCTTGGTGCTTGGCTTGCGTGGGTCATTTAATAAGCCATAGTAAACATTTGCCTATCCATAGTACACTAAAACCGTTACGGAAAGACAGGAGCAGGGTCTACAAGCTACCCTACTTCCCCTACCCAGCTTTTTTGCTGAATATTGTTTTTGTAATACTGCAGGTACGGTGTAAACCCAGGAAGTCCCATTTAAAGTAAATCTATAACGAGAACGCAAATGTAATCATTAGCAGCTTACCAGTCCTTAGATGTGTAGGCTTCAATGGGTTTTTTTTCAGGCATTTGCCCACTTTTTTTTTTCCATCTGATAATCCTGTCGGTAACATGCTGCCTGTCTTAGGGCGGCACCTCTCTCACTGTACCATAGCTATGGAGCAGCAGTGTTGTCATCCCAGCAACGAAAGTATTTAAGCCCCTTCTACTCTTCCCCATAACCTAAGGGAGGCGTGTTCTGTAGTTTAGAGGTGAACATGCATAGCAATGTTCAAGATTTAAGGTCTGCATTGTTGTCTCACTACAGAAAATTAGGACCTCCCTAGATGTATGACAGGATCAACATTTATAATGGGCAGAATGCAGGGGGAATGTTTATTTAGCCTATACATTAATAGGCAAGTACAGTATATGTGTATGGGATATCCCACATGATACTATAGCTTAATTATAAAAGGCCGAGCAGAGGAGTGTTTTTTGTGTAGGTACAATTTCCAGGTGACAACTTTGCCTTTGCTGGTTAGAAAGTGAAAGCGATCGCCTGACTTCTGTCAGCCACACCACTATGTGTTTTTGCTCCATTTTAACATGTACGCCTTAGTAGTGGTTTCCCTTGTCTCTTTCATGTATGATGTGATTCCCTGAAGCACATTAAAGTTTTGTTCTAGAACAGTCAGAAATAAATGCTGAAACCTGTTACGCGACTTCAGATTTAATGTCTTTTGATACTCTTTAATCGGTTATCACTCCTTCTTTTAAAAGCATGATTACTGTCTCATTCAGTATTCATTCTGTTTACTTTATTGATGTTTCTTTGATCCATGTACGAAACTAAAGACAAATTGATGAAAGATTTTTAAAAACGGGTTCACATGCTTTCCATTGACTATTGTGTTTAGACAAACATTCAGGGCTTAAAATTGCAGCATGCTGCATTTTACAACAGGGAATACGACACAAAGGAATTAAAGCAAAGCTCCAGGCACACACATTTCTATTATGTGTTTGGGAAAAAGATGCTACCTGATGTGTGGGAAATGTGCAGATCGCTTTTGTGTATTATAGAATCCACTTTTCTTTATTTGCAGAATTGGACAGCTATTGCTGTACTTATGGCCATTGTTGGTGCAACAGCTGTGACTCTTGTATAGGGAAGCAGTAATGGTTTTTCACCCTTTCTATCTCCCTGCCCATTTACAGAATGCCTTGTATTCTTTGAACCATTCGCAGAACGTAAGGCGTTCTGTAAATGGGCATGAGGAGAGGGAGGACAGGTAAATTTACCTTTTACTGCTTCTCTCGTACCCACAGAGGCTGGAAGTACAGTGATAGCTGCCTATCTGGCACGACAGAAAAAAACAAGCCTCCCGTGTTCTGGGGCGGGAGGGGGCGTGGTGGCGCCATTCATGTCAGTGGCGCCATCCATGTCAGTGGCGCCATCCATGTCAGTGGCGCCATTCATGTCAGTGGCACCATTCATGTTAGTGGCACCACAGACACTCCTCCTGCCCGCAGTGCAATTGCAAGCACCAGAACTCGTGGTACCGTAATGCCTTGCATTCCAGTGCGGGGTGATCACAAAAAATAGAGTATGGAAAGCACTGCATAGCGTGTGACCGGGCCCTTAGTACACATTAGCACAGGTAACTTATATAGATCTAGTCTCTGTGTCTGGATAATGTGTCTTGTGCCTGAAATTCTGCTTGAAAAACTTTGAAAACGTTACTTTTAAAACGCATGAAACATTTCCTTACATTATCTTACCGAATAATTTATTGCATTCTCCTGCCAGTTGCAGCTTCTGCAGCAACTTGTGTAAAGTTGACAACTGCCCAGGCAGTTCCCTAAACCGATATGCATGTACATTCTACTACAAGTGGATGTCCCAGTGTTTAACACATCAGCATATTTAGCTAGGTGGGCACATTGAGGCATGCCAAAGAGACAAAGCTCCTCCATCTGCACTGCCCACACGTATTGACAAACAGCTGCACCCAGATGGTGTATTGCTTGTATTGCCCTCACTCACCAGCAGAACACTACACTGCCCATAGACATACCCAGCAGCATAGTTGTCCCATGCCAGTTTTGGAATGTGCACTCATGGCTATCCTGCCAGTGCACAAAAGAATGGCACTATGATTTTTGTTTTTCAAAACTTAAGCAGGTACATTTATTATTATACTGTGTTCAGCATACATGGGCTTTGTTGAAAGGGTTTAGTGCCACTTCAAGTTGTAATATTTCTGTGGAAAACCAGCATTTTAAAAGAAAAAGAATATCTGCTGAGATATCCAAACTTGTCCATCTCTTACACACGGTATGACCTGACATTCCTACTCTTCTGCTACATATATTATATTGCAATGGGCATTCCGTTTACTTTGTCATGTTGTAAATTAACATTATCACACAAGTAGCATGTAACTTGTGTCCTGTCACCTGCTTCCTGAGGATGTGGTGAAAGGGAACAAGTGAAATTTGAGGCTGTAGAGTCCTTTTCAGGATTGCAAAGGGAAGGGACTTAGGTGACACATCCTCCTGCTGACATAGATGAAATGGAATGTCCTGCTTCATTTCTGTCTCTGCAGAAGTTCTCTTCAGTGAAAGTTTGGGCTACAAAAACCTTGACGCTTTATTACATTAGGCCTTTATTATTCTTTTATAAATCTAACTATCATTCAACTGCTCCGCATTAACAATTGCTAATTAACTGTTTTGTGTTTTAGCCTGCTCCAGCCTGGACAACATTCAGAGTGGGATTGTATTGCGGAATATTTATTGTGTTAAACTGTGCGATTGTGTATACTGGTAAGTTTTTATATATTTGCTTCTGATTTTTTTCACATCTGGAGACCATAGAAGTTCAGGGGTTGTCATACCTTTGTCAGATATGCAGCCTTGAATTCACAGTAAGATGTAAACTGTATCAAGGCAGATATGTTTGTATTCTGCAGCAAAGGAAAATGAAGGTGTTGCTATAGCAATGTACCACGTACCAGCTGTCATTGTTGTAATGCAGGTTTGGAAATGATCATGTTGTTTGTTGTGAAAGGAAATACTATTAATTTTCTTCACACTAGACTTTGTAACCATTTTTTATTTTATTCTTCAGCCATATATGTCCAGGTATAAATCCCCCACCCACTGATAGTCCCCTTCTGCACCCGCCTTACATCATCTTCCACCTGCTGATAGCCACCTTCTGCAACCATTCCCCCTTGCTGCTGTGTTTTCGCCTGTGGTAAATACATGGTTCTACAAGTTATGAAAAGGCATCTTCCCAGGATGTAGTTGTCGGGCCTGAGGGGCTATACCAGGTTTGAATGCTGAAGAAAATAGCCAAACACATGAGCTTACACCCTCCAGCATAGAACTTTTAAAATAGCCTGTCAATGTGCCCTGAGTGGGAGTCTCTTTAATGCCAATGGGGTTCTCTTCTCTTTAACTACCTGCTGTCCGGCCGTTGTAATTAAACGGCCGGACAGCGGCTTCTTGAGGGCGGGTGGGCGTCTTTAGACGTCCTATCCCGTCCCGCTCGTGCCCGCCATTAGGCGGCACGCACGAGCGGGAAACCGGCTTTGAATATAAACAGCCAGCGATGGCTGTTTACATACAAGCGTTCAGGCGTCTGTAGAGATGCCCGATCATCAAAATGTTCGGTACTTTTTTTATTATACAGTAAAAAAAAAAAAAACCTCCGTAGTGATTAAATACCACCAAAAGAAAGCTCTATCTGTCCCCCAAAAAAATGTATAAAATTCATTTCAGTACAGCGTTGCATGACGGAATAAATGTCAGTCAAAGTACCGCAGCGCTGAATACTGAAAAATGGCCTGGTCAGGAAGGGGGTATAAACTTGCACCCATATATGTGCAGCTTATATGCAGATAAGGGTCATTTGGCCATGTACATGCAGACCCAAACTGAGGCCAAGAGATACCTGCTCTGATGTGAAGCTGTTCTGATACAAAGTTCGATACAACAGGTGCTGCAATTGCACATTTATGTGGCTCATGTGCAGTTTTCATTGTACCCTAGAGCAGGGACAATCAGTTGCCTTATGTCAGCCTTAGCTGCCACTGCTGACAGCTAAATCTGTTGCAGGTTAGGCCACTGACAGCGGATCAGTTGTTTGGTTTGCCCAATCTGCACGTTTGGGCAGTTGGTCAGGAACTAAAGAAAACCTGTCAGTGTTGAGCAAATCTGTGCCAGGAAAAACCTTTCCTCCCATGGGTGGGTCAGGAACCGCTCTGAGGGTGTCATTTGGTATTATTAACACTGCAGGTGTCTGGGGTGCTTTGTGTGTAGGAGACAATTCTATCATCATTTTGTCTTCTTGCAGCTTACGAGAGGTATAGCATTACCCAGGTCTGGCCCTTAGTGCGCATTTACAGGGGTGGTTTCCTGCTGGTGGAATTCCTTTTTCTTCTGGGTATCAATACTTATGGATGGAGACAAGCTGGCGTCAATCATGTCCTCATATTTGAACTCAACCCTCGCAACAACCTCTCACATCAGCATCTCTTTGAGGTAAGAGTTCATGTACATCTTCACAAATGACTGTAATGCAATGGTTTTCTTGCGGATCTATATATTAAGTGTGTTTTGTTTGATTAGAAAGCATTTAAAGAGGACCTGTTATTAATCTTTTAAGCTTCTATGGTCAGGGCACTAAATAGAATATTTATGCATGCTCAAGTTTTCTTGTCTTGTTTGTATCACAATAAAAAAATAGTTTTCTTCATCAAAGTGGTAGGCATGTTATGTTAAAAAAAAAAAACACCCCAAAAAATCAATTCTATATATCCAGGTGGTATAGCAACAAAATAGAAAAAATGCAGAGGGGGTGAATACTTTTGCAAGCCACTGTACATACTTCCTTTTCACTCCCCTGCTGTTCTGTTCAACCGCCTGGAAGAAAGGAAAGTTCTGTGTAAGGTACAAGATGCCAGAGTCATAGCCTACACATGGAATGTGCCACATACTACTCCATACCCAGAAGTAGCAGGCTTTTCCTTCTGCTCCTGACACGAAACGTAGAAATGAGGGAAAGACGAGAATTTGGGGATTAATTTCCTAACAAGCTTTGAACTAATTGACTTGTGCTTCAGACATGTCTTCATTTTATTACATCTTGGCCTGTAGTATGGTGCAGATTCACTGTTCACAATGAGGGGAGTTTATCAAAACTCGAGCAAACAGAATCTGAAACTAGGGATGTTCAGATACCAAGTACTGTACTATGCGCGTAACCAGAAATCACAGGATCCCGTAGCGAAATTTTGTATGGGGCCCCGTGATTGCTAGTTATGCCACTTGCAGAGCCCGCCTGATATCCCAAACAGCCCACCTGAGGTTGACCCTGCAGAGCCCATCATAGACTCTCTATAGTGGGCTCTGCAGGGTCTCAGATGGGCTGCATACCTCTAACCTGTCAGCGCTGTCCGCCTCCGTGGTTGCCGGGCCCCGCCTCCTCTTCTATCGACGGGCCCCGCCTGCTCTTAGGTCGCTGGCCCTGCAGCCTCCTACACTGCGAACGCAGGCCTCTTCCGACGCATCTGCTGGCTATCACTGACACAGCTCCGCAGCGGCTGTGAGGGGAAACGTGCCGCGGCTCTGCACACTTCACTGAAAAGGTTGTCAGTGATCTTCACAGCCGCTGCTGAGCTGTGACAGCCAGCACCCTTACATGCCATAGCTACCCACACGGCATCAGAGGGATGCCCTGGCCGGGCCCATGGCGATTGTTACGTCACTCATTACAAGTACAGTATATGTACAGATACCTTTCCAGCTCCAAGACTAGACTAGAGAAAAAGTCAAAAGTTAGGAGGCAGCTGCCATTTTTAAGGAGCATTCGGGGCTCCTGTGATTTGTACATTCCTGTTTTTATGTATATTTTTTTTCTTTAATAAATATATATAAAGGGATGCACCAATACCATTTTTTTTTTTTTTTTTTTACAAGTACTGATACTTCTCCAAGTACTCACAGATACAAGTACTGATACCTTTTTTCTTGTCATGTGACAGTTTTTCTAAAACAATACAGACCAATGATTTCAGGACAGTGGTGGAGCGCCAAAGCCAGGTCACGGCTGCAGCCTCTGCATCCCTGGTAGTTCTCGTGAAAATGCCAAGTATCGGCACTGGTATCTGAACATTCCTATCTAGAACAGTTTTCCATGGTAACCAATCAGCTTCTACCTTTCATTTTCAAAGCTTAACTGAACCAATAGAAGAGGGAAGCTGGATACTATGAGCAACTGCTCCAGATTCTGTCTGCTCCAGTTTTGATTCCCCTCATTGTGAACAGTGAATCTGTACCATGCTACAGGCCAAGATGCAATGAAATGAAGACACGTCTGCAAAGCACAGGTCAATTAGTTTTCCCCCCAATAAGTGTATTTTGATGTAAAAAAAATGGTTGCGTTCCGACCTAAGATGAAATATTTCCACCTGATGACACAAACACATGATTAGAAATAAAGGAGAGTACCAGAAAGGATAAGAAGGCTATGTAGTAAAAGCAGCAGGGGGCCACGTTCAAGACTGTAAATTCAGGTAATCTGCTGTGGAAACCCTCATTAAGCATTGTATAATGAATAATTGATTACTAAATACATAGTCTAGAAAGCAACCGAGACAAACTGGGAAGGCTTTGCATTTATTTTGTGTGCAATGCTGCCTGGAGTGTTGCTATAACAGCAGAGTCCCCATTTGAGCATAAAGTAATGGACATTCCCTTGTGACTTGATCGGAAGCAACTAGTTGTGCTGGGATATACACTGCTATAAATAGAATTCAGGCCTGTGTTTCATCTCTTCTGGCCACTGTGTTTTGTCCTTTCCAATTAAAACACGGCAGCCTTGGCCAAATTGTGCCTTATCCTCTCCAGAATGCAAACGTTTGGGCTGGGACACATTCTGGGTCTCCAGACTTGATTTGTAAAAGCCTATTTCAACCTTTTACATTACAGCTGTCCTTTTTATTGTGCAGGTCAGCTGCTTTGGCTGATGTAATGATATCAAAATTGCGTTCTAATCCAATTTGATTTCGCAAGTCTGGTTCCAAATCATTAAATAATTGCTATATTTCTTTGTAACATTTCCCCCTTTTTTACATTTGTTTGTCACCTTTCAATGTAATGAGATGTATAGCTTTCCTTTATACCCAACTGTGATTGTGATACCTGTACAACAGAGTATTGTATACATTACTAATCGTGCCATTGTCAGCAGGCGTGAAGCTTGTTTCTGGAAAATACTGGGTTTCTCTTGGATATATTCAATGCTTCAGAGAATGATATGCTTCCCTCTATACATGTAAATTATGCTGTCTTTCTACAGGATTGATGCATACATTAGAACACAAACATTACATTTTCTATTTTTTCTTTAGCTTGGTGGGATTGACACGTAATTCTAGTTTAGGTTGTTATTAGATTGGAAGACATCTTTGGTGTTTGTGAGTGTATTATAGAAATAGAGGACTGCCATTGGTGTCCTAGTTGCCTGGTTGTTAGACTGGAACGGCTTCAATACTAGGACTCGCTGACCTGGAACAAGTATGAAGATGAGAAGTCAGAAATTATTCTGTATGCTTGTTCCAGGTCTGCGACAAACATTACTAAAATAAAAATGTCAGCTTGTTATAGAAATAGATGTCAGCAGTGATTGCCTCAGCGTCTCCTGTAACAAGTCTCCTATGTTTATGTGTAATTGCAGTTCTGTCCTTATAACGGACTTTTGTTTACGAATTATGATCTATTCTAATTACTAAGTACTATTAAGTGGTGTATCACTCACAAATAAAGATCAGATGAGTATTCCCAGTATGAGTGGGGCCAGTGCAGCACCTCCAATCCAGGATGATGGAATGTTGGTACCACCGATTTCCAGCCTACAACATCCAAGTATGGTTTCAGTGTTCTCTCTTAAATTCAGGCCTGTGGAATATATCCAGGAAGCCAGAATGCTATATCCTGCCAGAGAGCGACGGAATATAATGGTTGTGGCATGGGCGGAGCTGGGACTAAGTCAGATTTTTCTAGCTTTGTGGTAACATTCTCTTACTCTATCCAAAACTAAGGTTGGCTTCAGTTTTACTTTAGTTTTACTTTAAGGGCCCATTCACAACATTGTGTTGTTGTCGCACGCATGTTAAAACTTGTTGCATAGCAAGACAACACATTCATTCAATAACACACCAAAAAAAGATGCATTTTTAGCATCACACCACAGGATGATCCATGTTCGTGCATTGCAATGCACGTCGGTTGCCAGGTGTGTTGGAGTGCCATTGAGAATAAATGGCACCCCTTCACAGCACTTTGTGTAATAGAAGTTACTGTGTGGATATGCCTTAACACTGACATATTTCACCTTGATATCGGTCTTCTGTAACCCTACCTGTACATCAACACTCCCACTGGAAAAGGAAGCGGTACCAATATATGCCACACGGAGGCTCTTCAGTAGTCCCCATAAACTGACTGAGTAGCAGATCACCCCCGGTGTGGTTCTGCATCCTAGGTATCCCTTCAGCAGGTTGCAGTGTGCTTTTAAGAAGACTGTGCTGCTGCTGCAGTGGAGGTCCAGGACCCGGCTCTGCTGCCTGGAAGGTCTGTCTGAATATGAAGACTGGCTGCCCAGGATTATAAACCTTTTGTCAGATGACACACTTCCTGGATGTGTGTACAGCTTGACCTATAGACCTGCTATTTTACAAGCACTATGTATTGGACATGTTTCTTTAGTTGGTAAAATATGACTTTCACTGGCAAAAAATGTGCATGACTAAAATGTTTTACTATTATGTCTAAACACCACAGAAAGTTAAGAGTATTGATGTTTTATTGTAATTGGTGAAACGTGATTTATCAGCAGGTTACAAAAACCTTTATGTAAGTGTTCTAACATTCTATTTACAGTTCAGTGTGAGCTGATAATTTGTCAATATATACTGCTATGACAATTCTGTAAATTCTAATATGGATAAATATATGTGTGTGCGTGTGTGTGTAGATAGATATTGTGTGTAAATAATGCACTACCTTGTTTTGTCAGTTATTCTACATATAATCTGTTTGTCAGGCTATCACAGTGCTGTGTCTTTGTTTCAGCTTGCAGGGTTCCTTGGCATGTTGTGGTGCCTCAGTCTGTTCGCCTGTGTCTTTGGACATCATATCTATTTGCCAATGCAGGTGAATCCACTGGTTTTGTATGGCTTCATGCTGCTCTTTCTCGTCAACCCCACTAAGACCTTCTACTACAAGTCTCGATTTTGGCTCCTTAAGTTATTGGTAAGTGCCACAGAACTTAACAAAAGCCATTTTCTCCATTTTTCTTTTCCCACTTTTCCATAGCTCTGTTATGTTTGGATTGTGCTTTGCCCTTTGCAGAGCTGTCTTATTGTTGCACTTAAGGTTAATGTCAAGCTATGACCCTGTCCCCAGTATATTCCAACCACATAGGTTAGAAAAAGATCTTGTCATGTTTCAATGTTAGGGGTTTCCTCTTCCATACGGTAACCACATAATTTGCTGTTAGTAGATAGTCCATTGCATGGAAAGAACATTGAAAGATCCATTCACAGTGATGTGTTACTGTAATGCACAAACCAACACACTTCCAGAGTATTGGGCAGCACCCCCACAACACAGTGCACCACAGCATGCATAATGTGCATTATGGTATTAAAGGCTCCTGTTTTTTGGACCTTGTATTGGCAGCCCGTTCAAATTGAATCGGCTGCATTAACCCAATGTGCATTAACGCATGTGCGGTAATTCACCACAGCAGACTGCAGAGATCTTAAGGGGGCCAAAGCATTTCATTTCCACAGCTTCTAACTTTTTAATTTATAATTATTAAATAAAAGGTGCCACCGAACTGCTAAATTTCAGACACCAGATTTAATGCTGGTTCTCCAACCATTTGGTGGACTCTTGTATACCTGGGGTTCTTGGGAGGATGTATCTGGAGACCCTTCTCATAAGTGCTTTGTTTCTGCTCTTGTGTTTTTCCTCTTCACTTTCATCTTGTTTTTAATATTGGTTTTCTCTTCATACTAGTTCCGAGTGTTCACTGCCCCATTCCATAAGGTGGGCTTTGCAGACTTCTGGCTGGCCGACCAGCTCAACAGTCTTGCCGTGATACTCATGGACCTGGAGTTTATGATCTGCTTCTACAGCTTTGAGCTGGACTGGGAGAGTAACAACGGACTCATCACTAATGGTAAGAAAACCTGGGTTTTGTTTGTTTGTTTTTTGTGCATTGTTTTCAACAAATTATTTTATTTTTTTTTTAGAGTAAAAGAACAGCATGGTTTGGGGAACAATTCAGCCTCAGCCAGGTTCTTTTTTTCTTTAAACAGCTTTATTTTATAGTACATATCTTAGAGTCCAGCGCAATGCCCTCCGCTAGACCCTCCTAGTAAGTGGAGGAAGGAAAGCATCTGGTGGTGTGCATTGTGCCTGTACTTGACCTTGTAACTTATCCATATAACTATTTTTTTTTTTAAGCCACTCTGTGGTTTGTTTTGTTTTAGTTTTTTTAGGTTTTCATTAGATGGGAGGTTTTGGTTTTGCTATGAAATTCACTACAGAAAGTTCTTTGACAGTGATGTAATTGCAGCTTTTTCTTCCATTTGGTGCAAGCTCATTGTGTATTATTAAGCTTAAGTATCTGAGAAGCCTTTTGATGGAAACCTCCATTTTCTGACTCTTGGGCTTATGTGCTCCTTGTCGAGCAGTTGCCTCTGACAAAGTGACACTGAACAGGCGTCTTATTACCCTGAGACTATAGAGTATGGGTATTGGAGAATGGCAACGTCTCTCAAAGGTTTTCTCAGGTAGGTAATTCATTTCAGGACAAAATATGGAACTATAAATTGCCTTTAAATATTCAGCATGATTCTTGTAACTAAGTGTAATAAATATTGAGGACAGGGATAAAGGTTGAGTGATGACCATGAGGTGCTTGAGTCTGGATGTGGTTTTATGTATTTGTGTCTTGCTTCTTTTCTGTGTACACAGGGACTGGAAAGTGTAATACATATTCCTATGGGGTACGAGCTGTGGTTCAGTGTATTCCAGCCTGGCTACGTTTCATCCAGTGCCTGCGACGATACCGAGACACTAAAAGAGCCTTTCCTCACCTGATGAATGCTGGCAAATACTCCACTACTTTCTTCATGGTCACCTTCGCTGCTCTCTACCAAACCCACAAAGGTAAAAATCCTATGTGTGTGTATATTGTTTCCAGATCTCTGAGACCATCAGTGTGACTGAAGAGCTTTGAAATCCCAACGTTGGTGACAAGTACAAGTACACAGCTTGTCTCAATGATGGATAAGCCTTTGCTCTGTCACTGTCCCTCACTTCCCACAGAAACGGCTTTTCCTCACGTGTGTTACAAAATGGTCCTTTTGTTTTTCTCCTTATAAAATGTTCTTTCACAACACACATGAAATAAAATTGTTGGAAGGTGGCGTAATTATTCATTTTAAATTATTCTACGTTAATAATTGTCCATGATCTTTATATTGACCAATTCTGCTGGCTGACACTTCTATTTTGTATTTAAGCATGATTCGCCCCCGCACACCGTTCAGGATCTTCACTCATTTCTCCATAAACCTATTGATTAGGGCTGCAACTAATGATGATTTTCATAATCGATTAATTGGCCGATTTATTGTTTTGATCGGATAACAAATGTAAATAAATACCATTCTTAATTTAAAATAAAATGCACAAATGCATAAATCATTTTACAATGTTCTTAGGCTATTCTCTCTTAGGATCCAATGTTAGGCTATTCTCTCTTAGGATCCAATGTTAGGCTATTCTCTCTTAGGATACAATGTTCTTAGGCTATTCTCTCTTAGGATACAATGTTCTTAGGCTATTCTCTCTTAGGATACAATGTTAGGCTATTCTCTCTTAGGATACAACGTTAGGCGATTCTCTCTTAGGATACAATGTTCTTAGGCTATTCTCTCTTAGGATACAATGTTAGGCTATTCTCTCTTAGGATACAACGTTAGGCGATTCTCTCTTAGGATACAATGTTCTTAGGCTATTCTCTCTTAGGATACAATGTTAGGCTATTCTCTCTTAGGATACAATGTTCTTAGGCTATTCTCTCTTAGGATATAATGTTCTTAGGCTATTCTCTCTTAGGATACAATGTCAGGCTATTCTCTCTTAGGATACAATGTTCTTAGGCTATTCTCTCTTAGGATGCAATTTTAAGGTATTTGTCATAGGAGAATATTCTTATATTAGAATATTAGACAGAGAAATCCATACAATAATATGTATATTGGTTAACAAATTGTAATTATTTTCCATTTGACATCATTGGAACAAACCAGGATTGGACAAATGAACGTTACATTCGCCTTGCAAAAGGCAACTTAAATATCATCAGAAAATAACATCTCACACGTTAATATATGCAAGGATATCTTTTGACTTGCTGATACATTTGCACTGCAATTTTCTTTGTTTAACAATTAGACTCCTTAGCGTTAAGGCAATCGCAGGTCTACCAGAACCTTGCCACTGCACCAATCCACATCTACACAAATCCAAACTGAACTTTGTAGTGTTAGGCTCCTCCTAACCATGTTGTCATGAATTGTATTGGAACTGTAACGTCTTCCTTATATTGTGAAATGCTGCACAACCTGTTGGCACTATATAAATCCTGTATTATAATCATTTTTGCAGCTCTATCCCACAGATTGTAATGGATTTAAGGGGGGGCAAAGGAAACTCTATCGTTGAAAGGTGATCTTTGTGCTGTGCCCCTCTACTCCAATATAAAAATGACACTTATGTGATCTATAAAAATACCGGACAATGCATTTCTATCTTTTACTTGTTCCTCACGTTAAGTAAAAACCCAAAATGTAGTCCGATCTGCTTCCTAATGAATACCCTACGCCCCCCTACAAGAAAAAATCTTGACCTTAGGACAGACTACAAGAACAAAGGATTGTTTGGAGCACAACTGACACCTCTTTAAAATAAAAAATCATTGTGGTGCTGAAGGGGAGAAACGCCATGACCCTGAATCTGTGTGCGATTACATTAGCTTGACATGTGAGCCAAGTAATTGAAATGCAGCCACATGTGTCGTCTTTGTCTTGCAGCTCAGAATCACTCGGATGCTCAGGTGTTCTTCTACCTGTGGATCATTAGCTATGTCATCAGTTCATTATATACTCTTATCTGGGACTTGAAGATGGACTGGGGGCTGTTTGACAAGAACGCCGGAGAGAATACATTCCTGCGAGAAGAGATTGTGTATCCTCAGAAGGTGGGAGGTGTATGGATTTATTTCTACTTGCTTGTGGTTATTATTAACATGAATGTCATTTATTTAAAACTTCGCTTCTTCCTTTCCTCTTCTAGGCCTATTATTACTGTGCAATCATACAGGATGTCATTCTGCGCTTTGCATGGACCATACAGATTTCTCTCACGACATTAAACCTACATAACAATATTTCAGATATAATATCCACTGTCTTTGCTCCGCTTGAAGTCTTCCGGTAAGTGGTTAAACAAGCGTTCTCAATATTCCATAGATCTCTAGTATCCAGTATAAGGGCTCGAGTTCTGGCCATAGGCCCAAGTGGTCCTTCCTGCATTCTGATATTATCTTTTCATGCGTAAGCTAGCCACATAAAGCTAGATTTCTCTCGTCCTGCCCCTCGGGCTGAAAGCAAATCACTTGATTCTCTAATTCACACTAAACATCATGGATGGAGCAATGCCCACCTGTAGGCTATTGTATTCAGACAGCGTCCACAGCTGTCTAAATACCCGAACAATGCAGTCACTGTTCTGCAGAACATTTTCCACCTGACTCCTTTGATTTTGTAGTTTCTTGTGCCGGGTTGTTCCACCCATGGCTCAAGTTTTGTCCGATTCAGCAGCAATTGGGCAGTATTCAAGCCATGTATGGCTAGCATTAATCTGACTGTCCAAGGACCTCTGCATGATCTCATTCAGTTATTATAGTTTTTGTCTGATCACATGTTTACAGCTATAGCTAGAGAGAAATATAAAAAGAGCATGTTACCTTCGCACAATGAAGGCAGATGGCTTACAGTATATGGGAAGTCAAAACATTTATTTTTTCTATTAAAATTTTGCCCAGTCCAGCATAGATTTTTTTTTTGTTTGTTTTTTTTTTTATTGGACATTTGTTTTCTTTTCTTACTTTGTTTGTGTCCCACTGAGGAGAATTTACCTTACCCTAGACAACAGTGAGGGGAAATCACTCCAAAATAAAGGGGATCTGCTCTTGGACAGTTGTCACCGGCACCGGTGTCCCCAATTGGGAGTCTTCTCTGATTACTATTTTGGTGAGAAGTCAATTTTGTTTTTTCTCTTGCTTTGTATCCAGGGTACAAGTGCAAACGGTGATAAAATAAATATATATATATCTCAGCAGGAACATGGTAATAAAACTGACAGAGGTTCTAACCCCATTTACCACTAACCACAACAAAATGTTTAGGCTTTAGATGCACTGAGTACAGATGCCTCCGTTTCAGGGTTGGTATCAGTTTGTCACCCACCATCCTATTAAATCTCTGAGCCTCCAGTGATGAAACTGCCCCGCACTAGTTTTGGGCCTCTGTCTCTTTTTGCGTGATAAAGATGGACTGGACTTCCCAATGATTGGTTTAGGCAACGTTTTAGAGAATCTGGGGGATCAAGGGTAGAACTGTGCATGCTGCTGTGGCGAGTTCACCATTGGAGCTTCAAGTGATATATATTTCAAACATATGATTCTAATTGGCCTGTAACCATTTTATGGGGGGGGGATCGGCCTTTAAGATGCTCCTGTTAATGGAGAAGATTCTAGTCACCCCTCACTGATGGAAGAAGAGGTATTAATACATTCATTTTGTTTTCAATTGTTTTATGAACGAGAAAATAAGAAACAAAAAGAGGAGGAGGGTTACATGCTGCCCAAAAACAGTTTAAAGAAGAATTCTGGGCATATTTATTTGTAACCCCTTTAGAGGGGCTACCCCCCACACTGCAAGGATTCAGTGTTCGTGCTCGAAAATAAGTTTATACTCGCCTGAACCTCGCAGCCGGCTGGCTGTTAGAATGGTTCCTGCCGCCTGGCTCCCCCTCTGCTCCAGCAGTCTAAGGTCCTGTGAGTCATCATGTCCTATACAGTGTATAGGGCACCGAGGGACATTCCATCGCTGAAGCGGAGGTAGAGAGAGGCAGCAGGGACGGGAGTAGCAGCCAGCCGAGTCCATAGCTCACATGAGTATATAGAAGGGATGCACCGATATATATCGGCCGCCAAAACATTCCATTCTGCTCTGATCAGCAGGGAATCTTCGCACCCCCCTGCTGATCGAAACGGAAAGTGCCAATGTGAAAGGGGTCTTATGTTGTACAGGGCCATGCAAAAGTACCGAGTAATCCATTTTAATTCGGGTGGTAGTGCAAAAAAACAGGGAAAACACCAAGGGGGTAAATAGTTGTGCAAGGCACTGTATGCTGATGGACGAATCCTCTTTGCCACTGATAGGCGAATGTGAAATACTCTGAAATTGATAGGCGAATACGGTAAAATTCAGATAGATGAATGTCCAGCGAGAATTGGACAGCGAATCCTTTTTAAATAGACCGTTAGTATTAAAAGTCTTTATTAACATGTTACTGGGGTTTCTTTTTAATTTCAGATCATGTCAAAAAATAATGATCCCCTGTCCATACAATTTTATTGAGCAGTTTCTAATAAGACAAAATTTAGTCACATGGCTTTACCCTTTCAAGGTGTATTATTGTTTAAATGAAAAGCTCGTATCTGCTTTTACCTACATATGATCTTGATGGAAGTATTGTACATTCCTTCCGTGTGGCCTGCTTGGTATTATAAATGTGAATTGCGCCCTCTACTGTTCATCAGAGGAACTGATACATGACATTAGTTATATAGCTTTTCTTACTGCCATGCATGCATTATATGCTAAATGGGCATTTTGTTTTATATGTTTAGAGACTAGTTTAAGACATTTACCTTTTTGCCTGGTCTAGCTGCCTCACTTTTAAGTGACGATTATTCTGTATTGTCACCCTAATCAGATTTATTCTCCCAGATTTTTTTGTTTTTGTTTTACAACTCCTCCTCCTGTAGACCAGCGTTTCTTTTTTTCAGTCATGGCAACCTTTAAAAGCACATAGACACCTCACTCTGGCTGATTTTGTCTGCGATCGCTGTCTAACAGCTCAATAACAGGCATTCAAAGCGCATATCGACCACACTTGCATGTCTTCTGCAATGCTCTTTCTAAACCTACCAACTTTCTCAGCCACTGACCAAGAAAAACCTAGTGAAGCCACAAAAAGGTTGAAACTCCTTATGTACATGATTTTGAAGTGCTGAACTCTTAAAGCACATTAACATTTTCAGTTTAAATCGGCTAAATGTATTGCAGGTGCATAAAACAAAAGGTGTGTAAAGTCTTCTGGTTCATTTGCTTTGGAAAGCAGCCACAGCGCGAGTAGAAAATCTTGTCCCTTGTCAGCGTTCTACATATAAGGTTATTTGTTCTCTGTGTGGAAGCTGTGACCTCTCTGCAATGGTCCAAAATGTTCCCCGCTGTGTTAGAGCTCGAGTTCTTCAATTAGCAGCATGGACTTTGCTGAAGAGCTATAGGTCTGATGCAAGGCATGTTCAATCTCTGCACGGCTTTCACACAGTGAGCAAGGGTTTATTTCTACAGCATGCTGGCATGGAAACAGGCTTTTCTACTGTGGCTCTAGTTTGGCGTCTATAGAAAATGAACTGTAAGACTTTGCACACCATTTTTGTTTTTTTGATGTATTTAGCTGATTTCACCTGACTGTTCAGTTACCTGTTATGATCAGCATACCAGCCAGGCAACCAGCATTTTCAAAAGGGAAGCCTACCAATTTTTATTTAGCAAAGGCAGCCTACTCATTTTTTGCAGCACAGGTTTTAAAGTAGAATGTGTTTACAGCCAATTTCCATTCTCGCCCCCACAGCCGCTTTGTGTGGAATTTCTTCCGTCTGGAGAATGAACACCTGAATAACTGTGGTGAGTTCCGCGCCGTGCGCGACATCTCTGTGGCACCAATGAATGCCGATGACCAAACGCTGCTGGAGCAGATGATGGATCAGGAGGACGGAGTGAAGAACCGAGCCAAAAGCAAGCCATGGAAACGCAGCCAGAGTATCTCTCTCCGCATACCACGTTTATCCTCCCAGTGAGTGGCCTGTTCATAAGTGATGTTACCAATGTAATAAAGTACTGATTTATTTGTATCGGAGACCTGAACACATCCCAGGAGCTAGATATCTAGTGCATCTAATGGAATTTAGATGGCATCTGGTGGGGTTTTCCACTTTCAACAATGAAATGGGAATACAATGAGCTTCCAGCTTGGTGTGGACTGGCTGGGCAAATTGAAAATGGTGGCCTTCTGAATATAAGGTATGTAGTGCCCAAAATGGCAATCCATTCCAGATCAGAGGTGCTATTCTAGACTATGCAATCTGCTGATCTCTGAGGCTTCCAATTAGGGTGACCCGCACCCACCAAGCTGCAGATCCTCAGAATTTTAGTTAGACAATAGTCAAGTACCTACAAAGTCAAGTACCTACAACTTAAAGTATCACTCAGTCTGATATAAATTTAGTTGATTGATTTGACCAAATGTTTGAGGGCACCTAACCATTACACCTACCTGTATGGTTAAATGTAGGTGTACACCCCTCCACATGGAGTCCAGGTTTTTCCAGTGAAGGATACGGTTTATACTACAGCACACAAAGACATTTCAACAATGTGCCATTCCAACCTTGTTTTAACCATTTGGGAAAGGCCCTCTTCTCTTCCAGTATGACTACACCCATGTGCACAAAGCCAGGTCCATGAAGACATGGTTTGAGGCTTTTAGTGGGGAGGAATGAAACTGGCCGGTACGGAGCCGTAACCTCAACCCTAATGAACACCTTTTGGAATACATTAGAATGCTAATTGTTAGCATCCTGCATCAGTACCTGACTTCACAAATGCTCTTTTGGCTAAATAGGCACAAAGTGCCATGGACACACTAGAAAATCTTGTGGAAAAGCTTCCCAGGTTAGTGGTGTCTGTTATGATCGCTAAGTGAAACCAATGTTGATGCCCATGATTTTGGAATAGGCCGTCCACCAAGCACCTTTGATGGTTAGATGTCTAGAAAACTTTGGACATATAGGGGTCAATTCACAAAGCTTATTTTCTTCATTTTGGCCATTATTTCATTGATATCGCTTGTTATATAGTTGCTGTGTAAAGGTTGTCAATTCACAAAACTCAATAACGCTTCTTATTTTTAAGAAGTGGTAAATTAACTATTCAGACGGTATTTTAACTATTCAGACGTTATTTTAACAACTGGAGTGATAAAATATGCTTGAAATGCAATTCACAAAAGGAAAAGGTCCTTTTATCACTCGTTATTGAGACATAATTTATCACCTCCCGCAGGGTGGTGTTATGACAGATTTCAGGCGTTATCTGATGCATTTTGCACTGAGATGACATGAGTTAGATAGAAATAGAAACTTTTTTCTTCATTTTCACATTGCTAAATGCTTTTGAGTACAGAAGAAGAAGGCGGCATGTATTTGTCATTTCTACAGCTTTTATCCTTCTACAAATGTAGATGATTTTTTTACAGTTAGAGGTTAGTGGCAAATCTCACATGACACGAAAAATCAAATGTCCCTGGACACCCTTCAGTGGGGTTGTAGAGCGAGCGGATTGTTCCATGCAACAATTTTAATATCAAGACAGGCTTTATAGGTGGTACGGAGAATAGCTTGCCCTCCCTACACTGTCTGTCTGTCATCGGATGTAGATCTAAATAAATGTAATGTTTCATATATTCATTCCGTTCAGAAAAAATGTTATTGTTATTTCTATATGATTTCTTCCCTACCAAATTTAAAATTAGTATGCATGTGGCGAATATGGAATATATTCCTTCCTTATATGTGGAATCCTTTTGTGTGGTGAAAGTAACAGTCATTTAGGCATCTGCTCCACCCCTTCTGCTACCAAAATGCACTGCGAAAGTGTTAAAATAACACCCAAAACGTTATTTTATCACAGTAATAGATAAAATAAAGTCTGTGATGTTAAAATAACACTTGCTTAAGGAACGTTAAACTGCGTGTGCATTCACGATTCCGGCTTTTGTGAATTGCATGTTTCAGCCAGTAAAATAAAGAGTGGTAAAATAAGGATAGATAAATTAACTTCTACTCTCATAACGCTGGGCTTTGTGAATTGACCCCATAGTGTATAAAAGTTATTCTTACATTGTATAGCTAATGTCATCTTTTACTTTGTAGGAGCAAGGCTCGAGATGCCAAGGTCCTGATTGATGACACTGATGATGAAGCCAACACATGAGGCGCAAGCTACATTTAATGTTCACTTTCATCGATCGTCTTCACCAGGTTTTCATCCCAACTCCAGGCTTCTTTATGTCCATTCACCATACCCATTCATTACAGGGCTGGCCTTCTGTGCGCTTGCCAACCCCACATTTGCCTGCCTCCCTCCAAATCCATGGACAGATGTAAACACAGAAGCCAAGGAACGACCTCTACACCCAAGGCTGCTAAGATGGAAACAGACTCATAACATAAATGGGTGATCAAAATCTCCCTCTGCTGATTTTTGTCCAACCTTTCTGCTTGCCTGACCTCAGACAGACTTAATTTAATTGATTTCTGATGCTGTGACGGCACATACAACACCCTGTGCTGGGTTTGTTTTACTCGCAGCTGATTTTTTTTTTTTCTTACGTTTTCTCTTTTCTTTGCCCTTACCTTGACATCCCCATTCATGTGTTTCTTTGCAGAGCATCATGGACATTTTCTGTTCCCACCCCCCAGCAGTGCTGGAAGGGGTCCCAATGAAAAAGGGGCTGGGGGAGTGACCGAGCTTTGAGAGATTAACTTTCCTTCATTTAAACCTTCGTCGATTTTCATTATTTTAAACCAAAGTTTTGTTTTCTCCTGCACCATCCTATCTTCTCTATAATCTCTCTTATTTTCTTGCTGGATGTGTTCAACTCTCTAAACTCATCTGGTGGTGTGCAGCCACTTCATAATCTGACAGAAGCCAGTCCTGCCAAGGGCCTGTATTCTGCTCTTTGTAAGAGCTGAGCACTCCCTTTCATAGCCTCAATAGCCTGCACTGGGAGAGCTGTGCCTAACCATTTCACTACTGAGTACAGGAAGCCAGGAGGTTAAATGGTTCACAGATCTCCCACAGCAGAGTCGGTGAAGTTAAAGCGTTCCTCTTTTACTGCCAGATAAGACATGTCAACGTTGCACGTTGAGGTGCAATGTATGTCTCAAGTATTCTCTATGACTTCTGTGAGAGCAGGCTCATACACGGCTGTCAGCTGTCTCATTGCTGCCTTTCTGGGTTCTACCCACATTTGCCAGCAGACCTTCCCACAAGGGCTGACAATAGGGAAACAGTCTTAATACCCCTCCCTCCATACCCAGCACTGCAGTAGATGCACAATGCAGTAATTGGGAAGGGGGCAGCACAGTACGAACGTCATTCATTCTCAAAAGACAATGTTGGCTGTAAAGAGTCCATCCTCACCTTCTCCATGAGACAGGTCTAGATGTATAACGGAGCTGCCCCCTCTCTCACACATCTGTCTGCTTTCTCCAGTTAGTGCAAGGACAATCTTTTGAAATAGACCTCTGCTTGGTGACAACTTACCTCTACAAGAGTCTGCCTCTCTCAGCACCTCCCCAGCTCGAGTTCTGTGATGGGCATGAATCAAGGGGCCATGCTGAGAGATCCTGAGGTTTGTGACCGCTGCTTTGTCTTCGCTGTTGCTGTACATGTGCATTGCTGTTCAGCTTAGCTTCTCGTTTGTGTGCATGCTTTGTTCCTTCCTTCCGTGTCATGGGGGGAATTATTTGTATTTTTAGAAAGGAGCTTAAATGCTGAGTATAGGGAGTGGGCACCAGTTGCTTTTAAAGCCTGATAGGCTGTAATAGAAAGGAACTACAAATCAAGACTGACATTATACCTGTTACAACACCTAGAGTAGCAATTGGTAACTTCTATGTCGGCTTGAAACCAATTTGCTTTTAGGAATATGCTAATAGAAGTTCCAGTAAGGGACTGTTCATGCGTATTATGAAGGCAGCCATTTTGAAACCTTGACAGATGTGAAACCGCTCATCACTATGAGTAAGAGAGTTGATAGAGAACAGTGTGGTTCATCCTACAAAATGGCTGACTTCAAATTGTACTGTTAAACTTCTTACAGGGTTTAGGAGCCACTTACTTTACTGCCGGATTTGTATATAGTTAGTTATCTAGCCAACTCAGGCTTTGATACTTACATTCCCTAAATATGTCTCAGCTGTTTACTTGGCAAACACTGCTGTAATGGGAGGTATACCAGGAGTATGGCCATTTACAAGCTGAGATCAGAAGGCACCTTCCTGGCGTGCGGCTGTAACTCCAGTCTTTTGCTGGTACTGCTGTGGACAGTCTTCAGAATGCATTTAACTGCGACAGAATCGCTCACATCAGGAGAGAGAACAGACTCCTATTCAGAAGGACACGGCCTACAGGAGCTCCCTCCCTGCCTCAGAACCAGCTCAAGCTTGGTAGCTGTGATGTAACAAACGTGCTCTTCTTGTGTAAGATGTGATGTAAATCTGTACAGCAAGGGAATCATGCTTGGATGAGGGACGTGGAAAACCAGGGAATAAAGGGGGAAATTTAAGCACACTCCGTCCCTCCCTGCTCCCCTCTCCAGCTATCTGTCCCCAATGTGAAGCTCTCTTCCTGCTAGATGTCTTCAGTATCAGCACTGTGACTTGTTGGTGCATTCCTATCTTGTGTCCCTCCACCCCACATCTAGTCTTATTTCATTTCTCTTCCCTCCACACACCTCATGCTTGTTCCTTCCTTTCCTTCTCTACAAGCTTGTCCTCTGATAACAGAGAGCACAGGCTGATACTTGCTTACTCTTCTCTGTGGCTGTGCGGATAGATTTTTGTTCCCTTTTGATGGATATAAGAGTACATTTTTTTTAATACTGTGGAGTACTTTCTGGTCAGTAGGAAAAATTTGGCACAAAGTGCTTCTGGTTTGTAGATTGTATAAAAAAACAAATTTATGTGGCTTTATGTGTTTATTATTTTTTTGTTTGTCTTTTTTCGTAAAAGAAAAAAAAAGGAAAATGGAGTGTGCTGTCTGATTTATTTGGTTAGCAAAAATATTCCTATGATGACTGAAAGGGGTACATCTCCATGTGATAATGCAGAAATCACACGTTATAAGGGTCAGTTCAGTAAAGCATTGTGTGTATTCTTCTTTTTTTTTCCCCCCCATTTACTGTATTTTCTCATTGAAAATTAACTTTTTCATTCACGAAGACTGGCTTCACATATATGCAATGTGGTAACCCTTGCAGTGCATTGCTATGCCATTTATTTGAAATGGCATCTTAATGCAGTAAGGCAATGCACCTGCGTTGCACAGTAACTCACTGCCGTGCATGGTGGTGCCCTGTGTCGGCAGAAATGGTGAAGGTGCATTTCTAGGTTGATTTTTATTTGGGCTGCCTTTAATGCAACATTTATTAAATTGACCCCAAAGTCCCACAACAGGTTAGCTCCCTTCAAAATATTTAACACAAATGTTATTTTGAAGAGTCTGATCTGTTATACTGGGGCACATGTCTGCACCCTTAGCCCTCTTTTATCTAACAGGACCACCTTTTGTGCTGATGACTGTTACTTGGAACAAATGGATTCTAACTGGTAAAATAGCACAATTTTAATTAAAGAAAAAAAAATATCATTGTGTATATTGGTTGCTTCAGAATACCAGAATTTACCAGCAGCTGAAGATGCAAGATTTAAGGCCTCATGCACACTGCATTCAAATCTGTGGCTGGACCGATTCTTTCAGCCGGAATTCCAGATGTGTCCACATAGATGCAGCTGCTGTGTCTATTCAAGGTAATGACAGGGTGATAGCGGCCCCATCTGGCTGTGACTATGTAATCATACATTCTACAATTATCTGTGGATCAGGAGAGATGTTTGTCCCAGGATACAGAGAGATTGCGTCCCGGGACAAACATCTCTGTGCAGACACCTGGAATTCCTGCCACAAGAATGCGTAGGCTCTTGCCACAGGAGTCTCCAGCTGCAGATTTGAATGCTGTATGCATGAGACCTAATTGTAGACTTTCCAAAGAAAACCTGGGATATGGTTAAGAATCCAACACACTAAGGTCTCCGGAACTAATGTGATTTCTGGGTTTCCTGAAGATCCTTTTTGTTTCAGTTTGAATCTTTCCTACGTAATCATGTGACCAAGGTTGAGACTGACTGTTCTTGCAAGTTGGAGTAGATGGTGCCTTGCACTGAAGGTCAATACCAAATTTTAAATGGTACACAATGCCTTAGTCTGTTAGCATTTTCACCAAGCAGTACAGCTCAAATGTTTGCATTTAAACACTAAAGGCTGTTTGTTCTGCTTTCCCTGCAATGCAAACGCATCTCCAGTAGGACATGCTTTGTTTTGAGAAACCGTAATACGAAGCAGGTCAATGCACCCTCAGAACGGTCATTCATATTGTACTTTTGAGGTTCATGGGAATCTCCTGATCTGCATAAAATGCATTGCACAACAATGCAAACATAATTATAAAGGATGTATTCACACTCATCCATTTTCATGCAGCAAAACCAATGTATGTTGCTGCAGTTGCTTCTGGAAATGAAGCAAGTGGCATTGGGAAGAGGCTTCACCCAATATCTCAACAGCCTATCCTGTAGGCAGCAGTGGTAGTTCTCTTGAACTGGAGCTATAGAAAGCCTGCCAATGACAGTTTACACTTACAGAGGGGTAATAGGCTCTGTTGTACAGTACTGTTGATATAACATGTTTCAGGTATATCCAGGCAACTTACAGGAGGATGTCACTAGTGTTGTGAGGTCTGTCACAGTCCAGTGGGTAGGCTGTTTATGTGGAGGTAACATCGGCAGCTGCATTCACTAACATGCAGTCATGCTCCATATCCACTATAGCTGGAACTTGATCATGTAGTGTGGCATATACAGTGAGGAAAATAATTATTTGATCCCCTGCAGATTTTGTAAGTTTGACAACTTACAAAGAAATGAAAGGTCTATAATTTTATCATAGGTATATTTTAAGTGATAGAGACAGAATATCAACCAAAAATCCAGAATAAAACGCATGATACAAATGTTATAAATTGAGTTGCAGTTCAGAGAGTAAAATAAGTATTTAATCCCCTACCAACCAACAATAATTCTGTCTCCCACAGACTGGCTATGTGGTACAGAGATTAATCCTGTCAATTTAAGAAGGTGATCCCAACGCCAACTCGTTATGTATATAAGACACCTGTCCACAGAATCTTCCATTCAAACCTCACCACCATGGGCAGACCAAAGAGCATAAGGGACAAGATTATAGACCTGCACAAGGCTGGAATGAGCTACAAGACCATCAGCAAGAAACATGGTGAGAAGGAAACTGTTGGAGCGATTATTCGCAAATGGAAGGCATACAAAATAACCATCAATCGCCCTCGGTCTGGAGCTCCATGCAAGATATTTGCCTCATGGGGTAAGGATGATCAGGAGAAAAGTGAGGGATCAGCCCAGAACTACATGGGAGAAGCGTGTGAATGATCTCAAGGCAGTTGGGACCACAGTCCCAGAGAAGGATTGGTAGAAAGTGCTGCGGTCAGATGAGACAAATTGAGCTCTTTGGCATTAACACAACTCGCAGTGTTTTGGGGAAGAAAAATGCTGACTATGACCCTAAGAACACCAAACCCACAGTCAAGCAAAGAGGTGGAAACATGCTTTGGGGCTGTTTCTCTGCTAAAGGTACAGGCCGACATTGCCGCATTGAGGGGCCAATGGACAGGGCCATGTATTGTAAAATCTTGGATGAGAACCTCCTTCCCTCAGCCAGAACACGGAAGCTGGGTCATGAATGGGTCTTTCAGCATAACCATGACCCAAAACATACCGCCAAAGCAGTGGCTCAAGAAGAAGCACTTTAAGGTCATGGAGTAGCCTAGCAAGTCTCCAGACCCTAATCCTATAGAAAAATTATGGATGGAGCTGAAACTTTGAGTTGCCAAGCGACAGTCAAGAAACCTGAAGGATTTAGAGAAGATCTGTAAAGAAGACTGGACCAAAATCCCTCCTGAGATGTGTGCAAACCTGGTAACCAACTATAAGAAACGTCTTACCTCTGTGCTTGCCAACAAGGGTTTCTCCACCAAGTACCAAGTCATGTTTTGCTTGGGGATCAAATACTTAGTGTAGTCACTGAACTGCAACTCGATTT